AAACTTGAAAGAAGTTATTTTTGTGTTATTTAACGAGGAAAGAAGATAACAAATGAATAACATAATTTTTTTCATACGATCCATCGTTTGATTGCTACGTTCAGAAGGCTGGGCCGCTATATAAAGTTATTCAAAAAAATCTTTCAAAGCAGGTTCGCTTTCTTCCATTAATTCTCGCATTTTATCAAATTCGTAAATGGGTTTCTCGTTCCGCACATATTCTCTTTCGTATAGGACTTTTGCCATCGTTCTGATAACTTCGGAAAGAATAAGCTTTGCACTAGACATACTTACCTCTTCTTCTTCCGTAACTTTTTTCCGTTTAGGACTTCTTCTCAAAGGATTTTCCACAAGATTCATATAGCAAGTATTATACAAAACAATACCCTCCTTCCAGCTTTCCTTTGTTAGACCTTTACTCTCAGCTTCTCTCCACTTCTCTCCTTTTAATGGACGAAATCTACTCGATTCAGTGGCTTGGCATTCGTTGCAATTCCTATTTTCAGACATATTGAAGGTCGTTGGATTCAAATGGATTCACTTGAAATTGTTAATCTACAGCGTCAAAAGCTTAAGGAATGCTTAGCATCTGTGCACTTTTCATAGGATGAATAGGCTACACAAGCTTCTTGAAAAAGTATTGTAAAACATATAAAAATTGATCTACTGAATTGTGTAACATACTTTCCTTATTTGGGTACAGTCACCCCTGGACTAACTGTACAACAGAAAACGGAAAACATTAGCGTGTCCGAAGCATGTGACCTTTTGGATTGTATAACGAAATTTTGATTGGATTACATAACATAAATGTTTTTGTCAGAACGTCTTTTTTTCGTGTTTGATAAAAAATGATAACGAACTATTTCTCAGAATCTCGCGATTGGAATCTTTTAAATTTTCTAACTTTCCGCCAGAAAGAAGAAAACTGGTCAGAGAATAAACGGAAAGAACACAATACATATACTAGGTCTTTAGGCACGATAGTAGCAACCGGATCAGATGAACAACGGCTTATAGCTCTTTCTGCTTTGAATGGCTTTACAGTTAAGTAATTTTTACTTGTTATAGTAAAGGTGGGCTTGAGAAGTCGTACTTGTCAGGTTACGGATGTTCCCAAGTTATTTAACATCAACTACAACTTATCAATCTGAACGACCTATCATGCTTGATACGAAGTGTTCTAGGCCGAGTTGTTGATGATCTATCATGCTCTGATGTTGACCACCCTTCACTGATAGTCATTACCACATCACAACAACTTATCAATCTGAACAGTTCATTATCGACCTATCATGCTTGATACGAACTGTTCTAGGCTAAGTTGTTGATGATCTATCATGCTCGATGTGTTCATAAACACCGTCTGATAGTCACATTAGTTGGTAGAACAATTGCTAATTATTTTTTTTTATAAATCAAAGAAAGAGGCAAATAGCGAAGAGGTAACAGACTTTTAGAAAGGCATCGAAAATGACAGAAATGCCAAGGAATATGAAATTGCTCTCAAAAATTTGGATGTAAGTATTTGCTTCTCAATTCTTTTCAGCTCTCGTTTCAAAATAAATAATATCTGATGTCTCTTAGATGGTATTCGCTGTGGAGCGTAAATTGCGAGATAAAGGCAGTCTTTTCTTTATCCTTTTCACTCATTTCAACTTGCCAATAACCACTTGCAAGATCAAGTGTGGAAAACCAATTCGCTCCTCTGAATTTCTC